GTCGTCCCATGTGGTTGCCGCAAGCCCGCCGGACGCTCCTTCATCGAATCCGCCGGCTGTTTCTCACTCTAGCCCCCGGCCTCTGCTCACTCAAGGCGGCCTCCGCTCGCTGTAGCCCGCCGTGTGTTTCGTTGTGAAAGCGAAACTACTTTGTTGGCCTTCCAAAAGAGGACACGAAGTGCGGTTTTCTGTCTTTTGGTGTATTTCCTGCTGAAATAGCAAATAAGCCATAGTTATGAAAGTAAGGACTTCATATTTTCTGTACAAGGTGTGTGTGTTTGTGTGTTAAAGTAATATTAAAATACAGCAACAGTTCCAGTTTGCCTGCAGACAAGTGTATATGACAAAATATTGCTCCCTAAACACAAATGCTGCATGTCCGTCAATCAATGTCTCTGTATGTTCACAATCTTAATCTGGCTTCATAAATGGATTGATATCACCAGTGTTGTTTATGTCCAGAGTGAAGGAATCAAATTGGATAAGTAACAAAAATTCCCACATAGACCATTTGATAATCCAAACTCTACACATGAGGATACTGTTGGATGCTTCAGGTGGAATGTGTTGAAAACAAGCTCACTGAGTACATAAACCTTCTGTTTAGTTTGGTTGTACACTGAAAATGGTCACGTGGCAGGAAGCCCCCTTGTCATGTGACAGGAAGTATTAGTACATATATAAACATATAAAATATACACTTTGTTTCATTGGCAGCTTGCTGGTTGATTGCAGGTGGATTGACTTTCTCATTTTAGAGAGCACTTGATTGTGTAGTGTAACATTAATCATCAATATCTTTCCCCAGAAGAGAAAAACTGGACATTTTCAATGCTACCTGCTAAAAGGTCATATAGAGTCAACACAAACACTTGAAAAATAGGCTAAAAACTCAAACTTTTATGTCATGGGGTCTTCGCTGTGTCACTTGCAAGGCTTATGTATGTAATTATATGTATGTACACAAAGTTTGAACAATGTTTAATAAATAGTCATTTTTGATATACTGTCATTATACACTACCTTTCAAAAGTTTGGAGTTGCTAAGATTCTCTTAATGTATTTGAGGCTGCATTTATTTGATCAAAAATACAGTAGAAACAGAAATATTGTGAAATTTTATTTTAATTTAAAATAACTGTTTTCTATTTGAACATATTAAAAAAATGTCATCTTTTTGTACGTTGTATTGGATCGAATTTGATGGTGTGGACCATGTTGATTTAACAAAAAAATTAAAGAAAGAGAGAGAGAGCAGTGAGCACACAGAAGCATAAGCCACTTATTTAAAGGGGTCATATGATGTGATTTCAATTTTTCCTTTCTCTTTGGAGTGTTACAAGCTCTTGGTGCATAAAGAAGATCTGTAAAGTTGCAAAGACTAAAGTCTCAAATCCAAAGAGATATTCTTTATAAAAGTTGTCAACCACGCCTACCTAAAACGTTCTAACACGCCCCCACGTACTTACGTCACGATGTGGGAAGATTTGCATAACACCGCTCAAATGTTCACGTAAAGAAAGAAGGTGTAACTTTTATTCTCGCTGTAGTATTGTTGTTGCCGCCGCCATGTCGTGAAGACGCTGTGTGTTTCGTTGTGAAAGCAAAACTACTTTGTTTGGTCTTCCAAAAGAGGACGATATCCGCTTCGTCATGCCTGGAGCTGATCCGTGCTGGTCACTGAGGAAATACATCAACTTTGCGCTGTGGATCGCCGGATCGGCTTTCACCGTGGACGAAGCGGAGTCCAGCCTGGGGTCGTCACATGTGGTTGCCGCAAGCCCGCCAGATGCTCCTTCATCGAATCCGCCGGCTGTTTCTCACTCTAGCCCCCGGCCTCTGCTCACTCAAGGCGGCCTCCGCTCGCTGTAGCCCGCCGTGTGTTTCGTTGTGAAAGCGAAACTACTTTGTTGGCCTTCCAAAAGAGGACACGACTAGAAATCAGTGGTTAAGTTGTATTTACAACACTGTTCTAGAACAGTTCAACCCAAATATTCAGATGTGTGCAGCACATTTTATGGAGGACTGTCTCCTGATCCTGGAAGAGTAGACTACAATGCCGGCTGTTCTGACTCACAGACTGCAAGTACGTTTTTTATATTTAAAGAATTTGCCACTGACGATTTTCAAACGCTATTTTTAAACAGTGTAAAGTAGCGATTGTTGTTTGTCATTTCTTCGATCACAAATGCATGGTTATACGTTTACGTGGCGTGATGCAACGCAATGCGTAAAAAGACAGTATATGTCATTATAATCAGTAATTATGTTCCCACTGGATGCAACAAATGCCTCGTTTATAATGGGTTTTAATGTTTATGTCTCGTCGCTCAAGCCGGGACAAGGCATCACAATATGGTAAGAGGCGTAACATTCACACGCTTGAGGTATTCGGCCAATCAGAGCACACCTCGCTTTTCAGAACGATGAG